AAAAAAAAAAATTACATTCCTAGTCATCTTTCATGTGGTCAGCAGCCACATGTGGCAAGTGCCTACCATGCAGGGTAACTGAGAACAACATCATATTAGCAGGAAGTTCTATTGGATAGTGCTACAAATGATATAGAAAATATATTTAAATTACCTAATAGCCAACCTCTCTTCTTGTTCAAATGAATGTTTTGTTTACAACTGGAAGTGTGGCTCAGTGGTAAACTGCCTGTATAGCAAGTGGCAGGCCTGAGATGCCATCAATGAATTCAAACCCCAATACCATCACCAAAACAAAACCTTTCCTTTACAAATACTTCCTGTAAAAGTATTAAGATAGTTCTTCAACTTTCCACCTCCAGACTGGATTAAGTTGACTAGGACAACAATTTTCAGAAGTTGAAAACAAAGTAAAGTACTTCTATTAGCTAGATATTTATTTTGAATACAAACACACAGAACATTAATGAAAGTAAATCTGAAAACACTTGTTCTCTTAGCTCCAAAATAGAGCACTTTTGCAAAATAGCTTTAGTTGCTTATAGCTACATTTAAAATTCCTATTCTGTAGCATTTCAGTTAATAAAACTGGGCAGTGCCTTGTTATTAACTAAGTAGCAATGACATTTTCCAGAGCAGTATATTTGTAGAATTGTTTTAAGACTGTAAGATGAAACAAGGACATAAAGCAGAATATCTACCAAAGAACTTCAAACTCTATCTTTGGTAATAATGCATTCTCTAGTTTCAAGCTGATTTGAATCTTTTGGCTGACAGTCCATCTCTTGAATCAGACCACCATCCTGGCTATTTGTTGGTTATTTTGAGATGGAATCTCATGGACTTTTCTGCCTGGGCTTCCAACCTCAATCCTCCAGATCTCAGCCTCTTAAGTAGCTAGGACTAGAATGTGTGCCACCACTCATTTCATTGATTTTTTTTTTTTTTTTGTGCTAGTCCTGAGGGTCGAACTCAGGGCCTGGGCTCTGTCCCTGAACCTTTTTGTGCTCAAGGCTAGTACTCTACCACTTGAGCCACAGTGCCACTTCTAACCTTTTCTGTTTATTTGGTACTGAGGAATCAAAACCAGGGCTTCATGCATGCTAGGCAAGCACTCTACCAGTAAGCCACATTCCCAGCTCTCATTGATCTTTTTGTGATATCCTTTGTTCTTTTTTCCTTTCCTTCCAGATTTGCAAGTGTTGGGAGCCTCTAGGGGTAGAGATAAGGGAAAGAGTGTTAGCCTTAGGCCCTCTCTTTCTATATCCTTTCTGAACAATCATATCCATATCTATGATTTTAATTTGTATGTGTATGTGTGTGCATGTGTGCGTCCTCATGTGCCAGTCCAGGGGCTTGAACTCAGGGCATGGGTACTGCTATTCATGAGGGGTTTTTTGCTCAAGGTTTGTACTCTCCCACTTGAACCACAGCTCTACTTCTGACTTTTTATAGCTAATTGAAAATAAGAGTCTCAGGGATTTTCTTTCCCAGTCTGGCTTTGAATTTCAATCCTTAAATCTCAGTCTCCTGAGTAGCTAGAATTATAGACATGGGCCACTTATGCCTTACTTTATACAGTTTTAAATATTAACCCCAATAAATGTTTATAATTATAAATTTCTATCTTTTTTTAGCTTCAGATTTATATATCCAACTGCTTTCTTATTAATGCTCAGACATCTTTCTTATTATTGCTCAGACATCTTGAATCTAACAGTTCCAAATACAACAGTACCTCTCAGTTTCTCTTCTCTAAAATTTCTTCCTCCCTCAACTAACAACTTCCTATAACATCTATTTGGCTTACAAATCAGTATTTATAAGTCATCCTTGATCATTTTCTCTGCCTAATCCCTTATACAAAAGCCATTATCAAGTCTTGTTAGTTCTACTTCCTAAATATACTTTGACTCCATCTGTGGTCTTCAAATACACTTTTTCTCTGTTCTTATTTCTAAATTTTCTCACAGTTTGTGAGAAATGTATCATTTTTTGCTTAATGTCTGCCTCCCCATAAGTTCCATCAGGGCAGGAACCATACCAATTGTATTCACCGCAAGAAGCCAGGATTTGAAAGAATGGGCACTAGTATTTATTTCATGAATGAATGAATGACTCTACATAGAAATGGTTTTCAGGAAGTCAAACCAACGCAAGAAAGTTCTGTAGATCAGCTAGGCATTCAAACACTGAACTGGTCAGGTGTTGATGACTCACACTTATAATCCTAGCTACTTGAAAGTTGATGTCTGAGGATCACGGCTCAAAGTCAGCCCAGGCAAGAGCCTCTTGTCTCCAATTAACCACCAAAAAGGCCAAAAGTGTAGCTGTGACTCAAGTGGTAAAGCACTATGCTTCAGCACAAAAACTCAGGGACAACATTCAAAGCCCTGAGTTCAAAACCCTAAGATCAGCAAAAAAAAAAAAAAAAAAAAAAAGAAGCCTATCAAACATTGAACTGTTGGTGTGGTTCTCTTCAATTTTTGCTTAAAATTACTGGCAAAATTTAATCTTATAAAACCCCTACTGTGCACAAAACTTTTTTCACCCCTTCCTTTGAACTAGTGATTTGGAATCTGTAAGTGGGTGAAAATAACCACAGATTGTTCTCAGTGGGCTCAGATCCCACTACAGAAACAGCAAGCTTAGGCATTTTGCAGCCAAACTATAACTGGCTATTTGGAAAGTTTATGTCTATCAGGCTGCAAGAATGGCTCAAGTGGTAGAGCACCACACTAGCAAGTGTGAGGCCAAGGTCAAACTCTACTACTACCCGAAAAAGGATACACACACATATATTTGTGCAGGCAAAAACAGCTGGGAGATAACCTGGTCCAATTCCATGAGACAACTGAGCCTATTTCTGATTTATAATCTGCCACACAGAAAGTTTGCTAACTTAGAACCTATTGGCACTCAAGATTGTCAAAATTCAGCAGCAGATCATCTGACACAAGGTAGGAGGGAATTACAGTCAACAAAGCACAGAAGTGGAGGTAGAAATCTTTTTTTTTTTTTTTTGGGTCCGGTCGTGGGGCCTGAACTCTGGGCGTGGGCACTGTCCCTCAGCTCTTCAGCTCAAGGCTAGCACTCTACCACTTGAGCCACAGCGCCACTTCTGGCTTTTTTCTTTTTGCTTATGTGGTGCTGAGGAATCGAACCCAGGGCCTCAGGCATGCAAGGCAAGCGCTCTACCACTGAGCCACCTTCCTAGCCCAGAGGTAGAAATCTTTTAAGTAAAAAAACTGCCTCCTGCAGCATTCTGGAAGGTATGTTAAAGGGGTTTGTTTGTTTACTGTGTAGATCCTGGGGCTTGAACTCAGAGCCCTGGGTGCTGCCTGAGTTTTTTGTTCAAGGCTAGTGCCTTCCTACTTGAGCCACATCTCCACTTCTGGCTTTTTGGTGGTTAAATGGCATTAAGAGTCTCACAGACTTTCCTGCCCAGACTGGCTTCAAACTTTGATCCTCAGGTCTCAGTCTTCTGAATAGCTAGGATTACAAGTGTAAGCCACTGCCATCTGGCCGGTAGCTGCATTTTTAACTGGCCATCTAGTAGTCTAAAGTTCTACAATGTAGTAGATAACTCATTTTTTATTTTTATTTTTTTGTAACATTCACTGATGTTAATGAGAGTGATACTCATTCAGTAAACAGTGAGTGCCTACTATGGTTTGGGACCTTTGGATCTAGGAAGCCCTAACAACTCTCTTAGTTATCCTTGACTGCATCAGACTAAACCTCTGAATCCTTCACTTTTTACTAGTGACCAAAATGACACTTAGCAGAAGAAAGTAGCTGATTTCAAATTCCTTTGACTAGGAGGGTTCAATGATGTAAAACACAGTTTTCAACTATTTCCTAACACATTCTGTCATCTAAAATTTAGAATCTTAGAACTAAAAGCCAGCTCTATTATACACTTGTAATCCCAGCACTCAGGAGGCTAAGGCAGAAGGATCTCAGAGTGAGACCAGTATGGGCTACAGAGTAAATCTAGGTAAAAGCTAGACCCTGTGACAAAACAAAAACAAAACAAATCTTAGAGCTAAGACAGACCTAAGGAATCTCTTACTTTATAGACTCTAAGAAATAAGGGCTCCAGGAAAAGAAAATGACTTGCTTAAGGACACCAAGACAATTTTACAAGATGACTAAAATACTACTTAGTGTTCCATAAGTATTATGCCTCTGGCTTTAAGAAACATACCCATGTACCTTTAAAAAGCTCTCATATATCTCTGTACTGCTTTCACCCAAACTGCTCTGGTGAATTCTAGCTAACCAAAGTATCTATTTTAAGGGAAAGGGAAGAATGTAGCCAGTGATTGAAATTTTACACATCTACTGCTTTAAATGCACTGTCATTTTATCCTTACAATCCTCATACCTTATCAAAAGAGGAAACTGAAGACTCAGAATATCTAAGTAATTATCCTTAAGTGACTAAATAGTAATCCAGATCTCACTCAAAGCTCACACTCTGGCCTCTGCCTAACTATTGATATCATCAATGAGTACTCAGTTTCTTGATTAAAGAAAGAACAGCTGAGAAGTGGTAGAGTGGTAGAGTGCTTACCTTGCATGCATGAAGCCCTGGGTTTGATTCCTCAGCACCACATAAGCAGAAAAAGCCTGAAGTGGTCCTGTGGCTCAAGTGGTAGAGTGCTAACCTTGAGCTGAAGAGCTAAGGGACAGCACCCAGGCCCAGAGTTCAGACCCCACAACAGACAAACAAAACAAAACAAAAACAAAACCCCACAACCTATGTATTTCAAAGGCAGAATCACACTTTGCTGCTAATCATCTTTTTAAAAAGGTAAAGCTACAACTTTTTACATCATGGTTGCCACTGTTGCTTATGGTATATGAATTATAGTTTTTCACCAAACAAAATTAAAAAGACACACTTTTCCCCTACACTCAACTGAAAAATAAAGAAACTGTAAGCCCACGGGCACAAAATGAACAAAACAGAGGACTAGCTATGTCATTTCTCATTAACACCAAGTTAGAGTTCTTGTAAATCTCACTTTACTCTTTAGATCCTTTCTGGCAGCAAAATGAACAATTACCTCATTTGAATTTAATCCATCAGTTGCAGCCAAAGGAACTTTCTCATGTAGAGCTGTGCCAGTCACTTCTTTTATTCCAAATGCTGAAGAATCAAGGTCTTCCTTGATCCTCATTTCAGTGAGGGAAGCCTCCTCATGAAAAGAGGTTCCTTCTTCTGAGAAAGGCACTGAATCAGTTTGGGCAGTACTTCCCTGGAAGGGTTCACCAGTGGTAAAAACCTCCTCCAAAGGAGGCACTGCAGCAGCTGGGATAGCAGGTCCTTCTGGGGTGAATACACTAACAGGCTTTGTTGGGGTGGGTTCTGAAGGAGCTGGGGTTGCAGAGTCCTCTGCATCAGACTCTGTAAACGCAGTATCAGGCTCCTCTGGGGAGGGCACTGCAACAGCTAAGGCATTAGGCTTCTCTGGGGTAGAAGGCCCTGCGAGAGTTAGGGCAGCAGGCTTCTCTGGGGTGGTGGGCACTGCAGTATTTGAGGCAACAAGCTCCTCTGGGGTGGTGGGCCCTGCAAGAGCTGGCAGTGCAGTTTCCTCTGTGGCAGCTGGCCCTGAAGGATCTGGTTCACAAACTTTATCAACTGGAGAATCGGGATCCTCTGGGATGGGCCCTGAGGCAGCTAGAGTGCCAAGCCCTTCTGGGGTGTCATCCTCCTCTGCGATGGGTACAGTAGCCGTTGAAGTAGTCCTCTCTAAGGAAGACTCTGCAACAGCTGACATATCCTCCTCTGTGATGGCTGCAGCAGCAGCAGCTAGAGCAGTCTTCACTAGAGAGGATACTACAGCAGCTGGAACAGGACCCTCAGGAGCAGTCACTGCAATAGTTAGGGGGGCAGCTCTCTCTGAGGCTAGTATTGGAAAAGCTGTGACTTCCTCTTCTAAGGTGACCACTTCAGTGGCTGGGATACACGTGTCTATAGTGGCCACTGAGGCAACTGGGATGTCCTCCACTGAGGTCTCTATAGCAGCAGCTGAGATAGCAGGCCCCTTTGAGGCAGACACTGCAATAACTGAGATGTCTTTTAGGGTGGGCTCTGTAACAGTCAGGGCACGTATCTGTTGGTTAGATGTCCATTCCTCTAAAACTGGCTCAGTATTACTAGCTTTGGTAACCGGTTCCTCTGGGAAAACATTCAGGCATGAATCTGAATCTCGCATTTCCCTTTCCTCTCTCTGTGATGATGCTAGGTCCAGCTCAGGCTTTTTATCACTCATAGCTTCCACTCCATCTCTTTTATGTCTCAGTTCTCTAGTCAGCAGGTGTAAACCCAGAACTTCTGCCTCTAAAGATTTTCTCTGGAGATCCTGGAAGATTTGCTCTGGGAAGCTTCCACTCCCCCAGAGCTTGGCTTGATAATCCAGCTCTTTTGCCTCACTGTCCTCCTCATCACAAACTTTTTCTGTGGACAATACACATGAGTCCGCATTTCCCAAGCACATCACATTGCTAGTTTCTTTATCAATAGCTTCTTTCTCACTTTTCAAATGAATCTCACCTGTTAATAAACTTGAATCAGATGACAACACCTCTATTTCAGGTCTTGAGGTAACATCTCTTAGTTCAGATCTAAATGCAAAACTAAGGGAGAACCTCTCAATAGTCTCTTCCACATTCCCCTCATTTTGACTGCATTCTACTTGGGACAAATTGCCATTTTCTTTGACCACTTCAGAAGCAAAAGATAATTTTTCTTCACAAGAAGTGTTATGATCAGAGTTCAGAAATCCTACTGTGTCCAACTCGCCTAGTGATTCCAGATCACCTGGAGACTTATATTTCCCTACACCCCCAAGGTTAAAAGGCACTTTTTCACAGTCCTTGCAAATGTCCCTTATATCAGGATAGGCAGTAAATTCCACAGCATTAGGTACCTGGGAAGAATCCAGGGTATTAATATATTCGCAATCCAATCCAATATCATGGTCCTTTACTTTTATATTTAAAAGGTCTGTGTTCTGTTCCTTATCTAAGGCAGCCCCTGAAAAATGGCTAATTATAAGTGTATTTTCGGCATTCTGGGATGAGGCCAGCCCTTCAGAAGAGGCTTCATTCTGTAGTTCATCTGAAGTACCTTCACATAAACACTCCTTTTCAAGTTCAAGAAACATCTGTACTGAATCTGTGTCAGAGAGCTGCTCTGCATCAACAGGACATTCTAATTCTAAGACAAGATCTTCTAGCTCCTGAACAGTTCTGGTTTTCATCTCATCAATTGAACCCTCACCTGCAAAAACACAACTGCAATCCAGGGGTATATCCTTGGGAGAGGAAGCCAGTTGACCTCCAGCTGGCTGTGAGTCTTCAGAGCAAGAAATCTGATCAATGGCTACATGGTCAAAAGTCCCCAAGACAGCAGCTAAGCAATCAGTTACAGCCTCCACCACTGCTACTGTGTTTGCTTGTTCTCTTTCTTCAAAAATGTCTGCCAGGCTGTTCTTCTCATCTGCCATTAGAAGAGTCTTTCCTCCCGTCTCTGACAGTTTCTCTTCCTCCCATTCCTCTTCAGCCTCCATCATGATCCACCGCTCATCCTCCTCAAACTTCAGTTCAGACTCTGTTTTCTCTCTCAGGCTGGCAGTTATGAGAATGGGTAATGCTGGATCTAACAGCTCTTCACTCAGGCAAGGAGAGAGGGGTGGCATTTCCACAGTGCAGACTGGGTCTCCAAGTGGGTGCTGCTTCCCACTGAAACCTCCCTTAGCAGAACTTTTCATGGCCCTGGGCCAGGTTGCACTTGAGTATCTGTATTCCTGCATTTCATCTGTGTTACCACTTGCTGATGCAGCTTCTGATACCAAAGGCTGGAATTCATGTGGAGAGCTCTCACTGTGCTGCTGGAATCTGAAGTCCTGGCAGTCTCCACTTCCATTTTTCACATCTTGCACTTCTGGCAGAGCCATGCATTTGGACACATGTTCCAGAGTTACTGACTCTGACTGAGGTTCCCTGTGGTCCAAATGACCAGAGCTTTCTGTCAATGCAGAACTGGATTCCTTCTTCTCTTGCAAGGAAGGATTTGAAGCACCAGCTTCTGAAACTTCACTAAGAGAAGCTTCCATCCTTTCTGCAAATTCTGGGAAATTAGGTGGCATGAAGGATTTCCATGATCTCCTGTTAACATTGTCTTTGCGTTCTGCATTTGGCCGCCTTCTGGGTGGCACAGGTGCTGACTTTTGCACATCATTGCTTAGTTTTAAGGCATCAAATATTATTCTCTCATCCAGCTTTTTGCCTTCTGGTGCTCTAGATTCAAAAACATTCGATGCTGCTCCTAATGTACCATTACTAGATATGGTACTACCTTCCATCTTTTCCATGGTGCTTTTTGAAGTCTGATTAAGCTTTGACCCCTGATCTATCTGTTCATTTATCCTCATTGTATCATATATAGATCGCTGTGGAACATAGCAATCCTCTATATAGCCATCCTCATCCTCCCCCTTCCCCAGGCAGGTAGGGTTCCTCCTTAAACAGTCTGGTCTGCTCAATGGTTTACCCATACTGTTTCAGTCAAGATGAACCTTCACTCTTGGCAAAAGCTGTTTTACAGGTTTCCTCAAAATACATTCTACATTAATTATAAATCCTTTCACATGTTTATTCTTCAAGCCACCAATTGCATCTGCTCTCCAGAAAGACCTGGGAGTTACACTTTGAAATCATTCTGGGAGAAGCTCTAAGACAAACAGCTTTCTCCTTGCAGACTAGCAGCTTCATAGTTACAGACAGATAAATGGTATAATTTAATCAACAAACGTAAGATAGTTCCTTGTATGGCTTCTATTTTTTTTAAATTTTTACTTAAGGAGCACTGCTCTTTCACATTCAGTCCACAAAAAAAAAAAAATCATTTGATATTGATAAGTCTTGTTCGGTATCTAGTTCCACTCACTTTTCACCAAAGCAGAGTTGGAAGCAGTGAATGTATACCTTGTCCTGTAATAACAATGCCAAAGTCTCCAGTCCTCAAGTATGGCCCAAGCTAAGAATTCCTTTCATTTTATCCTCTATTCCAGTTCTGGAGCGTCCAGCTGGTCTGAATTAGGCCTTCGTCTTCTCTAGTTGGGGTGTTTGCATTTGAACTGGGCTGGTCGGCGGATATTCCTGCAACTTTAAACACAGGAAGTCCTTCGTTCCGGGCCAGTTTGGGGTTTCCTGTCTCCAAAACATCATGGCATTGTTGCGGCTTCCAGGCCAAACCTACACCGTGGCCGCAAAACAAGGCGCGTGGAGAGCCCCGCGCCGGGCCTTTAGGAAGCTGGCAGGCTGCAGCAGCGGCGGCCAAGGGGCCGCTGAGGGGCTTGCTCGACACCACCCGTTCCTCCCTAGCTTGCCGCGCGCCCCGAGGGCCAGGGTCACCTCACCGCAGTCGGGCAGGTGGTTTCGGACCGCGCCGGCCTCTGGTCCCGCGCTCAGGAAGTTAGTTGGTCCCTCTGGCAGCTGAGTCCCGAGTGATGTGGGCGCCGCCTCCCCCGCCGCCGCCGCCAGTCCCCCGCCCGCAGCCTCCGTGCCGTGGGCTGCATGACAAGCAGCCGCCTCTATTCTCCGCCGCGCTGCGGGCCCCGCGGCCCCGTCGTCCTCCCTGCCCGCAGCTGTCACGGCACGCAAACTTCTGGCTGGGAACAAAAGGCTCCGCTCCGTCCGGGCGGGGGAAGAGCCGCCTGCCTTGTGCCGCGAGGCCCTTTCGTTCGCCGCTCGCTGGAAGTGCTGGGCCGGCGGGCGGCTCTCCTCCTGCTCCCTGCTCCGCCGCCGCCGCCGCGCTGCCCCGCCCGGGCAGCCCCCCCCTGGAAGCTGGGGAGCGCGCCGCGCCAAGAGCCCAGGGAGGAGGGCGGGGGCGGGGCTCAGGGGGGCGGGCCCGGGAAAAAGGAGACCCCGGAGGGGCGGCGGACAGGATTGGAGGCCTTGGCGCCGAGGGAGGGGCTTCTACCGGGTTCGGAATGAGGCATGGCGGGCGCCATCCGCTTGGCTCGGAAGCCCACGCCCAACGCGCCCCGGGGCCGAAGGCGAAGCCCCGCCCCCTGGGAGGGCGCCCGGCAGAGAGCCGCACCAACCGGAGCCTCCGCGTGCCCCGCAAATCCCCTGACAAAGGAGAGCCCAGCCTCCTTCCGCTGGCCCGGCCTCTTCTCACTCCCGGCTCCTTCCAACCCGTGGGCTCCGAGCCAGCCCAAGGGCGAACAAACCCAGAATGGGTGCCCCCGCCTCCCCGCTGCCAGCTGGTTCGCGCGAGGGCCACGCGGGGCTCCATCTGCTGGCAGGGTAGTGCAGTGTAGCGGGTCACCGGCAAGATTCTAGGCTCCCACTTGGCCGCCAAAGGTTATCCCTAGTCCTCCAATATCACCTTGTGCACGCCTGGTGCCAGAGGAAGAAGGCTCCACTCTTAAACCCAGAACTTTGCTGGTGTCTCAAGGAATTCCATCATGCCTGGAGACCAAGTTACCAAATAAATTCTAGGCAGTCTACCTGTCTTCCCTTTCTCAAGCTAATCCGTTCATACTTCCACCTCAACTTCACCTACAGACCTTAGTGGTGTCAAACGAGAAGGGGGCGCGGCACCTCACGCTCAAAACACCTGGGGTCCTTTATTGCTATGCACATCTTAGGAAATCAGATCCTGCTTAGGACTAGAGGAAAAGCATGGGTCTGTATTTCAAATCTCTGAAAAGAAAATATTACAGAAACATGCTTCACAATCTCGTCCACAATCTTTTGGCTTTTAGAAATGCTACCTCCAGTTAAACAAAGAAAGTACAAAGGCAACCCAGGAAGCTGTTCACTAGAGGCAGCTGCATCTCAGAGATGCCTTTGTGATGACGGTCACTCTTCAATTTTATGAAGGAAAAAAGAGAGTCCAGTAAAATGTCTGAATCGCTGTTGGATCATATGTCAACATGGATTATAAAACTTATGGAAAAGTTATTCCTACCCCTCACAGTAGTTGGTGATGTAGATCTGGCACTGAAACCCTGAGCTTGACAAAACTGAGGTATGGGCTGAAGCCAGTGAGCAGAATTAACACACCTTCTCTGGCAAGAAAGACGATCAGTTCTCATTGTTGATCTGCTGATTAATTCTACCCACTTGGATACAAAAGAATCCTCTCATCTATAAATTGAGAGTACAGAGAGATAGATTAGACTATGTCTCCACAGCTTTATTACTTTTAATATTCTTTAGTTCTAATTTTTTAAGGAGTAGCTCAGAATCCTGTGAAATCTTGGTCTATACTGCAAGATAGTAGGAACCCTGTCCAATGAACACACAGTAGGAAGAAACAAGAACATTTGACCAAAGAAATAAAGCTCTAGGAGATGTGATCAACATGAAGTGTCTGGAGAGATGGGATGTGGAAGGGGAAAAAAATGTTCTAAATGTCTCCTTAAGCTGGAATACTAAAATCCAAGGGCAGATTTCAAACCAACAAAGAGCTTTCTGGCTGCTATTCAAAGAAAACAGTGTCCCTTATTAAGGGTGACTTACCTGAACCCACAGGTCCTTGAGAAGAAATTCAAGCAAGAGATTTAGAGATATATATTTACAAAATCGCCAGTTTGTTCAGGATGTTTTAAAGTTCATCCTAACTCTGACACATTGTGACCTTAAGATTTGATCAACTTACAGATCTGGAACTTAACAGTTCAATAAATCTATGTTTAAATTTTTCTTTTAATTGGTCAGTACAATTGGGAAAACCCAATGAAGACAAGATCAATTTCACTAGCAAATCTCCCTAGCCAAATACATTTACTTATGTTCAAATACCATAACAGACTGTTTAGCATGCCAAGAGCCCTCTGGCTGGAAGAATCTGAGGAATTCTGGCTCTGGACTAAGGGTGGGTAGTTATTCTGTTATAAAGAATGATTTGATGTGTAATCACAACCTTCATGGTTAGAAATTCCTTTCCTGTTTCCTCACCAAGTCAGGTGCCAATCAATTCAGTCTTTTTCTTAATTAACACCACCCCTTCTTATCCAAATTATTCTACCCATCTTATCAGTAGTTCAATAAAATAGATCATTCCAGCAACTGTGAAGTTCAGATTCAAATTACTTTTCAGCTTTAGTCATACTCTTAATTAAGGGTTAGAAACTTCTGATAAGCTGAAACATGGCCAACCTACAGAAAACATTACATAGCCAGGCGCTAGTGGCTCATGCCTGTAATTCTAGCTACTCAGAAGGCTAAGATCTGAGGATCTCAGTTCAAAGCCAGCCCAGGCAGGAAAGTTTGTGAGACCCTTATCTCTAATTAACCACCAAAAAGAGCCAGAAGTGGAGCTGTGGCTTCAATGGTAGAGCTCTAGCCTTGAGTATAAAAAGCTTAGTGACAGCACCCAGGTCCTAAGTTTAAGCCCCAGGACAATACATTAAAACAAAAACAAAACCTTCCTGAGTGCTTTGCTTATTTGCCCCGCCTTCCTCATTACTATGTATTTTAAAAAGAAAGCATAAAGTCTCTTTCCTCTTTCTTTTTATCTGTTCATGAGTTTGTCTTTACTTTTGGTATGTGGAACTCTGCCAATAGCCATTTCAGTGACTGAAATAAATACCTGGTACAACTTTCAGCCTTTTGGTGCTCTGATAGCTATAACAAAAAAAAAGCATTTGTGAATTTCACATGCCATGTGTAAAGTTTTTAAAAGAGAAGCTTTCTTAAAAAGAGTTTTGGAGTACCTCTTCAGATACTTTCCCCACCCCTGAAACCACAAATGTATGTGCTCAAGCCACATTTCAAATTAGTTTCCAGTTAGTGGATTATAGAGCTCAAAGAATTCCATACTCATTTTGAAATTCCTAAGAACAGGATTTGGTGTCAGATTTTCCTTCAGTGAACCTAGAAGAACAATCCTGGCTCTTTTTAGCTCCTTCCTGCTGTCTTCTTAATTAAAGGCAGCTGGGTGGAGTCTCCTCACACTCTAACACAGCTCCCTTTCCAAGTTTTGGACTTGGCACTTTGCCTTTGTCTCCCTCAGATCTGAACTGTCAGCCCACTAGGACAATCTACAATCCTACATCTACTTTTTTTTAAAATTGATTTTCACACCGTACAGAGGGGTTACAATTACATGGGCAAGGTAATGAGTACATTTCTTATCAAGCGTTGTTGCCTCCTCCTTTGTTTTCCCTTCCCATCATCCCTTCCCATCTCTCCACTCCCCCCCCCCCCCCCCATCTACTCTTTAGGTACTAAAATGCCTTTCTTTTCATCTACCTTGATGGGAACTCTCTCTTGGAATAAAAGAGGACACAATAGACTGGTTGGATCTTGCTCATTTTAGATCTACAAAATGCCTTTCATCTTAGGATATCGAGATTTTACATGCTTTATTTACAAGTGGAAACTCCACAGTATTAGTCTGTACCTGTTAGGCATCCGTCATTAACATCTTTTTGTGCTTTCATTATTATAAATTTGGCTACAGGGTGGTTCAAAAAGCAACACAATATGGAGTGAAGTTTGTTTTAAATGGGAAACTAAGGATTTCAAAGCTATTTGAGCTCTCATGTATTTTTGAACCCAAGAGAAAACTTTCCACACACTCTGCAGGAACTCCCATGACCTCTGTAAGCCCTTTCCTTTTTCTAAACATCTGGTGATGACAAAAGCATGGGGGCTTTTGCAAATTAAAAAAAAATCTGAGCTGGGAAGGAGGCTCAGTAGTAGAGCAGTTGCCTTGCATGCCTGAGGCCCTGGGTTCGATTCCTCAGCATCACATAAGCAAAAAGAAAAAAGCCAGAAGTAGCGCTGTGGCTCAAGTGGTAGAGCGCTAGCCTTGAGCTGAAGAGCTGAGGGGGGACAGCGTCTAGGCCCAGAGTTCAGGCCCCACGACCGGACCCCCAAAAAAATAAAAATCTGACAGAAAGCAGGGAGAATCAAGAAAGAGTCCTAGAAGAATCCACAGTTACGTATTAGAATATAGATATGTAGAGACGGTGAAGACAAGTATTTCCAAATGAAGAACTAGAGACAGGAAAGCAACATTTCTAAAGAAGCAAATTCTAATTCAGCATAACAAGAATGAGTATAGCAGGGAAAAGTGAGAGGTTAGAATGGCACGTAAACTCGAGCCAGGCACTGGTGGCTCACATTTATAATCCTAGCTATTCCACAGTTCAAAGCCAGCCAGGGCAGGCTCATACCTGTAATCCTAGCTACTCAAGAGGCTGAGATCCAAGGGTTGCAGTTCGAAGCCAGCATGGGCATTCTTATCTCCAATTAACCTCCAAAAAGCTGGAAATGTAGCAGTAACTCAAAGTGGTAGAGTGCTGGCCTTGAGAAAAAAAGCTTAGGGAAAGCCCCAGGATCAGCACAAAAACAATACAAAAACCAAGCCAAATTCCTGATTCCTAAATGAAGCGCAGGGTGGTAAAATATACTTGCCCAAAATACCACAACTAGTGAAAATGAGGTAGGAAGTTGTGAAAGAAGTTATAGAGAGCTCATGTCTGTAATCCTAGCTATTCAAGAGGATAAGATCTGAGGGTTGTAGTTCAAAGCCAGACTGGGCAGGAAAGTCTGTGAGACTCTTTAAACCCCAGAAAACTGGAAGTGGCCCTATGGCTCAAAGTAGTAGAGTGCTAGCTTTGAGCGATAAAGCTCAAGGACAGTGCACAGGACCTAAGTTCAAGCCCCACCACCGACAAGATAAAAAAACAAAACAAAACCCTACAGAGCACATTTGGACTTCATAGCAGGACAGATAAGAGGTTACAGGGAAAAATAAA